ATTAACTTAATTTAATCTTTTTTTAGTTTTTATTTATTTGCTTAATTTAGATTGAAAATTTTAAGCTTTTCCTTTTCTTATTTTTTTTTTACTTATTTAATTATTGTCATATATGTGCGCGGTGACGTTCCGGAAAAGAAGAAGAAGCATGGCTTAAAATTCTTCTAATTAAAATTACAACCGGTGTTGTGAATATGTTGAAAATGTCAATCAACTTTATGATTGACCTACATTTAGGAAATTTTTTAAAGAGTGTAAAATTTATGCCAGTGATTCAACATTTTATCGGTGGTGTAACCACAACACGCTGCTACCAACAATATCAAAACTCTTTGAAAAATTGTCGTTAACAAGGTTAATACCGATAATAGAAAATGACAAATTAAATGAGAAATTGAATGAGAAGTGCTCTACGCTTTGGGAAATTTATACTGGTGTGCCTAAGGTTGTATTCTGGACAGAACATCTAAAGAAGAGGAGAATAGAATTAGAAAACAAATATAGAAAAACCTATTGGTTCCTAGGGTGTAGGTTTCGATTGCCAACATACAATAAACTGTTGATATATAATCAAATGATATAGTCTATATTTATGTATGGTTTGCAGTTATGGGATTGTGCCAAGCGAACGTACATCAAACAAATACCAACATCCCAGAACAGTAAAATTCATAGAGATCTGGGCGTCCGCCAAGTAGATGGAGAAATAAGGAATTGTGCCATGAAACGTAGGACGCATTTGGAACACCATGTAAGTTTCGAGACCCTCGACTTATGAGGAACTGGTGTTGGACAAAAAAACTGAAGCGAACGAGGCCTCTGAAATTAGCCTGAAACGCTATGACAGCACTTACGTGCCTTCGTTCACGGAATATAGACACAAAAATATGATAGAGCAAAACTAATGGTTTGCCAGATTGACTAATTTTAGGAATTTATGACCATCCAGATGTATTATTTTTATTTCAATTCTGTGATGCAATTTTTTTTATTTCTTTCTTACTACGTTAAATCTCGGGGGACTGTGATGTTGAAATCTTTCGTAGTAAAGGTTCTCCACTCCTGACTTAGTTTTTAGCACTTTTTCAAAAATTTTTTGAAAAAAAGTGCTTATTAGTTTCACTCTGTCCGTCCGTCCGTGGACACTTTTTTTGTTTACAAAACTTCTACATCCTTGAAGATAGAAAGCTGAAATTTTATATGTACATAGATCTTTACTAGAAACTTACTTCCGTAGAACAAAATTTTTACCTATCTCCCCCCTCTAGAAGTTATACCCCCCCCCCCCCAAAACCTTAAAAATGGCCTTTTTTAACTATTTGTTGCAATGAAACCGTAAGCATTTTTGAAATTTTGCAAACGCAGAAATACTATAGTTAAACTTTAGAAAAACAAAATGGCCATTCAAATTTACCGTTATCTAAAGTCCTTTATTTTCCAAATTTTTGATGTCGTTTTTCTTCTAGACCCCAGCCTGTAGAAGCTTGAAATTTTAAGGGCTTTTAGACATTAACAAATAATTCATTTTGTTAGAAGAAAATTTTTTCCATCTCCACCCCCTCTCAAGTTATTGCCCTTTGAAATTTGTAAAATTTGAATTTTTGACACCCTATATTTTCGAAACCGCAAGCTTTTTCAAATATCTATAAACGCAAACAGTTAACGGTAAATTCCTTGATATTAAAAAATATAATTATTTTTCTTAACTCACACAATTAAACCTTAAAATCGAGCATTATGTTAACCCTTCTTTATATTAATTTTTGCTTTATTTCAAAGACTGCATGTATGCAATCCTAGAAGTAGTTTTGTATATGAATGAAAATATTTTTAATAGTGTGATAGGTATACATAGACTGTATTTAAAAGCAGAATTTTCACTTGTTGAAGGGAAAAGTGCTGCAATACAAACCACTGGTTTGACCCAACTTTATTAAATTATTGCAAACACTTTCGTACACTTTCTCTTTATATATGTACTTAAACTTGGCTTAATTATGATAACTCTGATTTCGAAAATGAACACTATTATTAAATTAAATTGTGTAGTTTTAAATAAATATACATATTAAATGATCTTTTTGCATAAAAGCCGCAGAAGACACAGGTTAATTTTTCTAAAAATATTTAGAGGAATTTCTCAGATATGCTATCATATCTCATAGCAACTGTCGGTTTTAGTTGCTCAATTATATTCTTCACTTCCACCTGGTTTGTTGGTGTTAGTTCGAAATCACAGTTCGCGTTTCTCTTTAGTATGTGATTTGATTTTCGACAAAGAATATTCGTATTCCAAAAAATGGTTAAACCTTTCAATTTTTGTATTATACGACTTTACTATCTTAAAACTATTTTTGCGTGCCGAAATATCTTTATTATTTATAATTACAATTTTCCTTAATATTTGTTAGAAATTGCATAATTTCCTATAACTATTTTTTTCTCTTATTATTTCTTCGGTAGATAATTTAGCTTTGGTTGTACAGATTAGGCGTAAAACTTCATTTTTAGATTCATTATACAAAGATAATTCAATCATTGTCATTTAATCATTGATCGTTTTTATATTTTCTTTTTGATTTGTAAATAACAATCGCGAATATTTATGTGTTTAATTATTTCATGCATTACCCATTTATGATTTTTGCTTTTACTTTTTATATATTTTTTGATGGCATTACTTGCACAATAACTACATAAATTATTGACGGAATTAAGATTATTTCAAATCTCATGGTTACGTATGTAAGGGTAATTCAATATTGTTTAGCAATTTGCAACCCTACCTTGCCCTAGTTTTGGTCTAGTTTATGCTTTTTTCTTTTACTTTTTATATATTTTTGATGGCATTACTTGCACAATAACTACATCAAAATTATTCTATCATTCTATTTATAGCAGAAGACTTCGATGTGATGGCCAATCGAATGTAAATATTGAAGTGATAAAAAATTACCACCACATTGTAGGAAAAGTTTTACAGAACCAGTGTATGCGATTATTTTGACATTTGTCATCACTTCAAAGCAGATAGCACTTGGTAATCGCCCATTATAGAACTTAAATATGACGTCACTTTATTGGCTATTTGCATACGACACGACTACCAGCCTTAGATGGCAATCTGAAATTATAGGTTACCTTTGTCTGGAATAACACACCAGTTCGCATTTACTGACACTGATTTTCAAGTTATTTTTATACTATCTTTAAATATTATTTAGATCTGCTTGAAAATGTATCATTATCTAACATCAACAATTAGAGAACTAAGTTTTTTGAAAATTTTCGTATCATAAGCATGAATTAACCCCTTACCACTTCAAAACGAAAACAACATTATTGATCGCGACGATGAAAGTAGTATTTTCAAGGGAATGAACAAAAAAGAATTCTGTGTTTCCATGCAGAAAGACAAGTACTAATTCACTCTTAAAAATTTGTCGGAATGTTTTTTTTTTACTTATAAGTTTATTTAACTTAATGTCATTTTTGGTGTGGTATTCTACTTTTTTCTTTTTTATTTTTAGATTCCCAGTTTGATAACACTATTGTTATTACATATGCTATTTTTTTTTACAGTTGTTACTCCTTCCACAAGTTGTACTTGAATTGTTTTCACACTTTTATTGTTGACATATGAAGTTGGAAAATATCTTTATTTTACTAATGTAAATGTATGCACATATGTTCTTAAAATATTTGCGAATTTTTCCAAACTATTATAACAATATTTTTTTTGGAAATTTTAATGTGTTACTCTAGGCAAAGACGGCCATTATTAACTAACTACGAGTATGCTTTAAATGGCCCAGCTCTTAGTTGAGTCGATTCAATTAAGGATTTAGATGTTTGCTTCAATAACAAGTTATCAATCAATAATCACTACAACCATATCATACGCAAATCAAGCTCAATGTTGGGTTTCATTAAACGCTGGTCAAAGGAGTTTAATGATCCCTATGTCTCGAAATCGGTCTATTCGTGTCTTGTCCCTCCTCATCTTAAATATGCTTCACAAGTATGATCACCCTATTATAATACATATATATTAACAGTATTGAGTGTATTCAAGAAAAATGTTTGAGGTCCGCACTACGCCTTCTCCCTCGGGAAGACCTCATCGCTATTCCACCTTATGAACACAGTCTCAAATTAATTGATTTACCTATACTAGACAAAAGACGTGATGTCGCAGATGTGTTATAAATTTTTCAGCTTATAAAAATTGACATAATTTCTCCCTAAATTTTAAATAAAAGTGTTACTAACTCTAATCTTAGTTTTGGCTCCTCTGATCCTTTTCAAAGGAACAATTATGGGAAACACGAATCTGTTAACAAAATGCTGCATTAATGCAATAAGCACAGACTTGACTTTTCACTGACGAATGACACGATGAAAAAACTTCTATTTACTTACATGTAGTTAAGTATAGCCTCTTTTATTTTTAATTAATGTTTAAGTCAATAATTATTTGTTAAAGCCTAAAAAATGTGTATATACATATGTATGTGTGTTCCTGAATTTTAATTTTTGTAAAATGTTTGAGCTAACTATAAATAAATAAATAAATTAACAATTGAAAAGTTTTTAAAAAATTTTTAATTTCGATAAGTTTTAAAAGTTTTAATATAATGAAACATTTAAAAATATTAATACGGTTCAGTTTTCTTTTTTTTTTTTAGTTACTTTTTTAGTTTTAGTTACTAATATTATCAAATAATTATATCAAATATATAATTTTACTAATATTATCAAAGAATAATTAACTTTATTTTGTAGGAGTTTTAGGACTTCAATTTTACATAATTTTTCACCAATTTTCAAAAAAGGATTTTACGCTTATAATTTAAATTTATTTCAGTTAACCTTAAACACTTTATACATATAATTAGAAAAGGAAAAAACAATTTTTTTTGTGTAGCAGTACGGAAAAATGCATACATTTAAATGCAGATAGCAATTATAATGTCAATAAAAGATTTTATATATTTCAGTTGTGCCGCACATCACTGATGCCATACAGAATTGGGTGGAAAATGTTGCTGAACGCCCAGTTCGCGGAAGCTCTACACCTCAAGTATGTATCATTGAATTAGGAGGAACTATAGGGGACATAGAAGGCATGCCCTTCGTGGAGGCATTTCGACAATTTCAGTTTCGTGTTAAACGTGAAAACTTCTGTGTTGCACATGTTTCGCTTATACCTATGCCTAAATCAACAGGCGAGCCAAAAACGAAACCTACACAAAGTTCTGTTCGAGAACTTAGAGGCTTGGGTTTATCTCCAGATTTGATTGTTTGTAGATCAGAAAAACCTATAGGACAGGACGTTAAGGACAAAATAAGCAATTTTTGTCACGTCGGACCAGAACAAGTGATTTGTATTCATGATTTATCCTCTATATATCATGTACCATTGCTTATGGAAGATCATGGTTTAATAGAATATTTAAATTTGAGATTGCATTTGAACATTGAAAATTCAAAAAGAGACAGGTAATATTTATTTAATTTCTTAATTTCTTTTAAATATTTTTGCTTTACGTTTTAATTCCTATCAAAAATTTTTTAGCATTTTGCTTTGATTTAATTTCATTGAGTTTCATCAATTACAATTCCTTTTTAAAATTTCTATCTATTATAATATAGGAACGAAATTTGAAATTAAAATAAAATTATTGTTTTTTAATGAAAGTTAAAGTGAAAACGAATCTTTTTTATTCACGCAAAGAAAATTTTTTACAAACTCTTCAATTTTTAACAAAGCGCTTCATTTTTATATTGGAAATATTCACTTTTTTTACGTATTTTCCGGGATTCAGCGATGCACCCCAGAATTAAGCTGTTCCTAAATATTTTTTATTAAAAAAGGCATGATTTGCTTCATGATTTAAGTGCTGGTGAAATCTTATCTCCTCTCGGCTCTTTCAAGCGCTGGAAAGTTCTAACAGTTTATCTCATTCTTTCAATCGCGCCTTCACTTGCGGGTTTTCTATATGCTGTTAAGTTCACTTTCTTCCTAAGTACCGTCTCGCTTAGCTTTATTCAAAACCTTATGAACTCTGCCCCTCGTGTTCTCCAATCTTCGCGCCCACCAAGGTGCATCCGTAGAATCCCTTGGCATACCAATGGGACAGTTGGATTCAAAAGTTTCATCCATTGTCTCCCCACATTTTCTTACAGTCCCTTTAATCACCACGGGATGCCTGGCCACAGTTCTGGCCGAGGCATATGACAGTGTCAGATCTTTCCTGTATTTCTTCCAGTCTCCTCCATCAATCCCCTTAGACCGAACTGGATGATTCTATGGTTCAGCATAGAAGACTCCTCCGACAATTTCCAGCCAGAGGACTCACCTCTAGTGTTAATGTTGCTATTTCCCTACGCTTCGTGATGTGCATTTGCGTCACATCCGATGATGATTGGCCACTTGTTCCTATTTTCTGTACTTCCAGTATAGAAGATTGAGAATGTACTCCCAATTTTTATGTATTCTGAAAGTAAAATAAATTTATACACTACGTCCCCGACATGCGACATTTCGAGTTATGACATGATATAAACTTGGACCATTTTTATTCGGCCAGCGACATTATTCCTGACACCACATTAAAAATTTAAAATTTTTTTTTTGTTTTTGACAGATTTTACTATTTTTTGAATAAATATCATTACCGAATTTAGTTATAACACAAAACTAAAGCACATACTTCAATAATGAACTTTTTCTGCTTAAAAATTCTAGTCAGTAGTTAAAAATACGAATTGAAGTAATATAATATCCACTTTATCAGATTTTACCTTATTTAATTTTGTTACAACATTGAATTTTTTTGATTTTGTTATTATAGTTTGTTGTTTTTTTTAAACTTTGTTACCTTTTTTCAGAAAACAGATCGTTTATATTATAAAATAGTTTGTCTAATTCCTCCGTCCTTCCGTTGCTCCATCAACTTCGAAACCTTTGTGTGAATTCCCCTGTGTCTGGCCTGGAGAATCGACAGTTGTCCCATCATTTGTACAATCGGCAAGGACAATTCTAAGCTTGTTGTGTATTTCCTCAAATTGAATAACTAACGGAACTTTTCATTTTATTAACGTATTATGAACATTCCAATACTTGAGGTTTCCACGTTAAGCACAATTACACCACACCGGCACTAGAATGTTTCCGTTTATTTTAACAATTTACGCGTCAAAGTTTTTTTTCAACAAAATTGAGACATTTATGATGATATTTTCAAAGATTTCCAAGTTTTTTAAAAACGCTATTATGAAAAAAATTATAATATCCCAATACTGTTTATATCTCACGAAGAGTTTAAAATTTTTGTTAGTGTTTTTAGATATGTACATATAATAATTTTTGTACAATCAAAGTTTGGCATGCTATTACAAAAACTAAAACTTTTTTTTTGTGGACATTAAACTATCTTTATTTTTTACTTCTTTGAATAGATAGAATTAAATGTAAGATTTAGTGCGCTGGAAAGTGAAAAAAAAGAAATACACTAAAAATGAAAAAATTATTTTGGGATATTACTTATTTCTTCAAAAACTTTTAACCCTAACTTCAATGAGGGAAAAATTTTGCTTTCAATATTAAATTCTTTAAATATAATAAGGCGCTTTTGGTTTGTAACTGCAATATGCAAGTCCATGTCGTTTGGTCTGATTCGGGAATTTTTCTTCCACGTTTTGAACAATCCTTTTTTGCTTTTGAAATCCAACTGACATCCGTGGGCAGATCACTGCTATAAACAGCCTTCTACTATTTTGAAGAAGATTGAGTTTTGCGAAGTGTTTGTATTTTTTATGCATTGAAGTTATTTTTGACCCAGATACTCGAAATAGAAGTTTATCTCATAATCCTGCTTGAAGCGCCAAGAGATTCAGTGCGAAAGAACTGTGAACTAAGGCTTCTCAAATCAATTTAAACTTTTCAGAGACATGTTATATAACTTATTCAAACAAACCAAAACTTTTCCGATAAAAACAACTTTTCCAAACAGTGTTTTTAGTTAGCCCTTAGACATGAATATTAAAATGAAATTCAATTTGCCTTCTGTGGTACCAAATACCAATAATTGCTTTTTCTAAAATTCCAAAATAGTTAAAAATTTCATTAAAATAGAAATTAGAACGGAAGTTTCCAAAAAAACTTTGATATACTAATTCAGATCTTTCCAAAAGTATGACGTAGACCAATGCATGTCAAATGCAAATAATTCTGCAAAATTTAATTAAGCATTTTATGTAACTTAATATAGATTTATCTCAAAGTCAAGAATGAACGGATATTGAATGTGAAGATGAACAAAATGTAGATATTGAAAAGACACAAAGATTATTTTGAACGGTTTCCAATCTCTTATATTATATATTATTAACAAAAATATGATATGATCAGCACATAACCGACCGCAATGTTTATTGTATAGTTAAGTGAAAGTGTTACGGAATATTATAAAAATGACTATTAAATACTTCTTTGTCGTTCATTGTTTTAATACGAAAAATTTAAATATTAAATTTCAATCAAATCGGTTGATTATTTCTCTTTATGTACGAAATATATATTTGGCCCGTAGTAAACGTCCAGTTGCTGATTTCTTCCAAAAGTTTGGAGCTTTCGCGGACGGTCGAGCAAGGCTTATATATGAAAATTCAAGTAAATCGGTTGAATGTTTTCTTCAAAATGGTCAAAAATGTAAAACAGGCCCGCTAAAAAGTGCAGTTCCCGTGGCCTGATATATACCAAAAGTTGATCAATCCGTGCTACAGCTGAAATAAACTTAGACCTAAAAATTCATCAAAATCGGTTCAGCCGAACTTGAGATACACGCGTGCACACACAGACCGACAGATCGACCGACAGACAGCTTCGTTCTCAGAAAAAGTGAGTGATAAATAATGTCAATACAAGCAATATTTAAAATATTTTGAACGAATAAATTATGTTTCTCGTTTTTATAAATTCAAAATGTTGTTTTTTTTCTTTTAAATACATGTGCTAAAAATCCTCAAAAGAAAAATATAGGCGAACCTTAACTGTCGTCAAACCTATCAATAGTGGATGGTCAAACCTATCGTCAGTGGATTTGTCCTATTGTCAGTGGATCTATGAATGTCGCTATTAAGCACATAACGGGGATTATCCACCATATTACGAAGGATCCTGTTTTGGAAAGTTTCTATTTGTTTGATGTGTGTTTGGTTGGCACAACCCCAAAGCTGTAAATCATACGTCCGTCTAGACTTTAATACTTGGTTATATACCAACACCTTGATTTATATTTGTTTTCTTGTTAAATTATTTTCTTCTTGATGTGTTCCTTTTATCTGAGCTTGACATCCAAAATCATCTAGGTATTTCACTGTGTCTTAGATTAATACTCTAGTACTTATTGATTCAAATTTTGTTGCTGTGGGTTTACTAAATTTTTGTTTGTGAAATTTAAATGTACAGATTTACCTTCATTTAACTTTATTTTCCATTTATTTATTACTTATATTGTTATTTGTTTCTTGTAATTTTCTTGTTGATTCTTCAACACCAGATTTTACTACCAATTACTGTATTGTCGGCAAAATGTAGTCGCAGTTACATTCTCCAATAACTTGTGTGAAGCGTGTATAGTATAGCACCCAGAATAAAGCTTTGAGACAAACCCGTTCCAATTTCTTTAAGCGTGGAGTGCTCCTTGTCTGCTTGGTTCAAAAACGTCTTTCAGATAAATATGATTCAAGAATCTTTACGAATTGTTAACGTATCAGTTTCCTACGTTTAAATAGCAAACCGTTGTCCCAAAATATATCAAACGCCTGGGTCATGTCATGAAATATTGTGGATCATATTTGTCTATACTTTCTATTATCGGCATCACCCGTGTTAACAACAATTTGCAAGGTCATATACAAATCAGTCTCATTTAAGAGTTTCCCCGGTTCTCTTATAACTTTTGCTACTTCCCAGTAATTAGAAATGTACCTCAAGTTCACTGTTGCATTTATTACCTTTTTCAAAAATGTCAATGCTCTTCTCGGCAATTTCATTTCATTTATTATATAAACTCAAAAAAAGCTAACTTGCTGGTACAGAGTGCGTATATTCTTATTTTTTACTTATAACTAAAATATAAAAATTACTATAAATAATTTTCTAAATAAATTACTATAAATTAATAAAAAATACTATAAATAAGTAAAAGAATTTCTATGTGCAGTAGATAACTACAGAAATAATAGAATATAATAATAGCAAAAGTCAAATACAAAAATATTAAATTCATTTAGTAGTTAAACAAGATATTGATCTTTCTTTTTTTTTTTAATTTGTACTCATTTAAATTTTTTATATTGCGTGTATAAGTGACAACGCATTGTATTCTTTTGTACCACTGCAAAGTATTGGTTCCAGGCCTTGTAAATTGTGGTTCTTGGGATATTCTAATTTCTGCGCGCCTCGGGTATCATAATGACGTACTTCGCTTTGG